TGGGTCCCCCCCCATCTAACCGCCCCCTCCCCAGGAGCGTCGCCGCCGGGGCGGTGCCATGGAGGCCTCGTGCGGCGGCGGCGGCGGTGGCGGCGGTCTGGTCCACATCGACTTCCCGGAGATCACCAGCGCGTTGTTGGCCAACCTCAACCAACAGCGGGTGGAGGGGAAACTCTGCGACATCTCCATCCACGTGCAGGGCCGGGTCTTCCGCGCCCACCGCGCCGTCTTGGCCGCTTCTTCCCCTTACTTCCACGACCAGGTCCTCCTCAAGAACATGACCTCCATCGTCCTGCCCAGCGTCATGGATCCCGGCGCCTTCGAAACCGTCCTGGGCTCGGCCTACACCGGCCGCCTCTCCATGGCCCCCGAGGAGATCGTCAACTTCTTGACGGTGGGCAGCGTCCTCCAGATGTGGCACATCGTGGACAAGTGCACCGAACTCCTCAAGGAAGGCCGAGCCGCCCCGGCGCTGCCGGGTCCTTCCTCTTCTTCTTCCTCTTCCACCTCTTCCTCTTCCTCCTCCTCCTTACGCGCCCACTCCAGTCGCACCAGTGACAACCAGTCCCCCAGCAGCAGCAACTACTTCAGCCCCCGCGACGCCGCCGAGGGGAACGACCCCCCCAAATACGCCCCGCGGGGGGTCCCCGAGGAGGTGGGCAAAGGGGGGACGGGGGACCTGCTGGAGGGGGAGGAAGGCAGCGAGGACGGGGACGGCGCCCGACGGCCCCTCTACGTCCAACCCAGCATCGTCCCCCAGAAGCAGTGGGTCTACGTCAAACAGGAGTGGCTTCAGGAGGACCTGGTCCTCACCTGCGAGGAGGACGAGGACCCCGTGGAAGGACCCGCCCGGACGGATGGACCTCCTCGAGGCTGTGCCACCGCCGCCGTGGTCCCCCCTCACTGGGTTCCATCACATCTGGACAACTGGGTCCCATCGTGCCTGGACAGATGGGTGCCATCACACCCAGATGTTTGGGTCCCATCACACCTGGGTGCTTGGTTCTTGTCCTCCTGGGCAACTGGGTTCCATCACATCTGGACAACTGGGTCCCATCGTGCCTGGACAGATGGGTGCCATCACACCCAGATGTTTGGGTCCCATCACACCTGGGTGCTTGGTTCTTGTCCTCCTGGGCAACTGGGTTCCATCACATCTGGACAACTGGGTCCCATCGTGCCTGGACAGATGGGTGCCATCACACCCAGATGTTTGGGTCCCATCACACCTGGGTGCTTGGTTCTTGTCCTCCTGGGCAACTGGGTTCCATCACATCTGGACAACTGGGTCCCATCGTGCCTGGACAGATGGGTGCCATCACACCCAGATGTTTGGGTCCCATCACACCTGGGTGCTTGGTTCTTGTCCTCCTGGGCAACTGGGTTCCATCACATCTGGACAACTGGGTCCCATCGTGCCTGGACAGATGGGTGCCATCACACCCAGATGTTTGGGTCCCATCACACCTGGGTGCTTGGTTCTTGTCCTCCTGGGCAACTGGGTTCCATCACATCTGGACAACTGGGTCCCATCGTGCCTGGACAGATGGGTGCCATCACACCCAGATGTTTGGGTCCCATCACACCTGGGTGCTTGGTTCTTGTCCTCCTGGGCAACTGGGTTCCATCACATCTGGACAACTGGGTCCCATCGTGCCTGGACAGATGGGTGCCATCACACCCAGATGTTTGGGTCCCATCACACCTGGGCGCTTGGGTTCCATCACATCTGGACAACTGGGTCCCATCATGCCTGGACAGATGGGTGCCATCACACCCAGATGTTTGGGTCCCGTCACATCTGGGCGCTTGGGTCTTGTCCTCCTGGGCAACGGGGTCCCATCACGCCTGGAGGATTGGGTTCCATCCCATCACACCCAGATGTTTGGGTCCCATCACACCTGGGCGCTTGGGTCTTGTCCTGCTGGACAACTGGGTCCCATCATGCCTGGACAACTGGGTGCCATCACACCCAGATGTTTGGGTCCCATCACACTTGGATGCTTGGTCCTTGTCCTGCTGGACATCTTGGGTCCCCTCACATCTGGACAACTGGTTCCCATCATGCCTGGACAGCTGGATGCCATCATAGCTGGACAACTGGGTGCCATCACGCCCAGATGTTTGGGTTCCATCACGCCCAGATGTTTGGGTCCCATCACACCTGGGCGCTTGGGTCTTGTCCTGCTGGGCAACTGGGTCCCATCACGCCTGGGCAACTGGATCCCACTATGCCTGGACAACTGGGTGCCAACACACCCAGATGTTGGGGTCCCATCACACCTGGGCACTTGGGTCCCATCACAGCTGGACAACTGGGTGCCATCACACCCAGATGTTTGGGTCCCATCACACCTGGGTGCTTGGTTCTTGTCCTCCTGGGCAACTGGGTTCCATCACATCTGGACAACTGGGTCCCATCGTGCCTGGACAGATGGGTGCCATCACACCCAGATGTTTGGGTCCCATCACACCTGGGTGCTTGGTTCTTGTCCTGCTGGACATCTTGGGTCCTGTCACGCCTGGACAACTGGGTTCCATCACAGCTGGACAGCTGGGTCCCATCGCACCCAGAGGTTTGGGTCTCATCCCATCCTGCCCAGATGTTTGGGCCCCATCACACCTGGGCGCTTGGTCCCTGTCCCCCTGAACATCTGGTTCCCATCCCACCTGAGCACCCCGGTCCCATCACACCTGGACACCTGGGTCCCATCCTCCCCAGATGTTTGGGTCCCATCACAGCTGGGC